AATAGATTACGCGTGCACGTGTTGTCTGGGGCAACACTATAGTAAATCTAATATTGATCGAATAATCTGAGTGCGAAGATATGCTGCGAGAGTAGTCTTGGATATAAGATTTCCTCAGCAAGTGCCTTCACAAGAATTATTTGACAAACTCAAGTGGATAATATTCCCTAAAAGAACTACCATTTTACTTTAATTCAGATTGTACAAAATAGTTAACAACATGCATTGGTCCCTTAATTATTACTGATAGATTCGTCTACACTCTTAATATGCATGAGGTAAATTCTAGAAATGCAGCTGATGGCAAACTAAGAATACCCAAACTGTCCACTTCAACATCAACATCAAAAATCCTTTAGCTATCGTGACGTGAGGATTTCGAACAACTTAACTACCGGTTTCAAAGACTTAACTTAAAGTACTTTAAGAAATCAGTAACTGAATCATCTCACTAATCTTCTTATTTAATTGTATTGGTGTATTTTTAGTCTTTAGCTTAACTTTTTACTGTTAAATTGGTGTCCACCATCAATATTTAGAGTAACTTGAGCGTATGAGTAAAGTGAGCTACTTGCACAGATTACTTGGTTAGAAAATTAAACCAAGAAAAATCCAAGATGTCTTTTCAGAAACTCTTTAAGCCAAATGTTATATGATAATGGAGCCAATGGAGCCATCATGCCGATGGCCCAAGAGAAGGGAAACAATTGAAGCCGGGAACGAAAAAGGACAGATGTAATTCAAAAACATCTTTTCGAGATGAAGAAATGCGTGTCGTCAGCAATAGTCGAATAAAATCATTTAAACATTATAAAACTACATATTTTGTTACGAACTGCAAGTTAAAAATTCTATACTAATATGTACTTGCTTTTCTGCCAGGCGGAAGTTTAAATCAATGACGGGCTGCCATTCTTTTTATCTGCCGCAAGATGCAGAAATACTCACCAATTCACACAAGTATGTAAGAATTCCATTCTTTCTTTTAGGATCCGTCATTGTTCTTGTAATTACTAACCTGTTGCCACTTGTTATAACTCTGTATGAAGACCTTGGCTATCTTTGTGTTAAAGACATAAACGACGACGAATATAGTAAGTCATTTAAAAAAAAAGTTCAAACAAACAATGTTTTTAGAACATTTCAGGGTAGCCTCCCACTTTTGAGCTGGCGTAATAGGCCAATTCAGGGTCTCAAAATACAGGGATGTTGAGAATTTTTATATTGTTGCATTAATCATATTTGGGTTTACACAAAACGTTACTGAAGCTCGATAGCTGTCTTTTTGACATTCTCTGGAGCGTCCAAATGCACAAATGGATCGAAAATCGCACATTTGTCCTCTAGTGCACGCGCTCCAATCGAAATATCGTGCATGTTAAAATATTTTTGCGCTATGCTTTAATAAATGTACTCTGATAAACGCATGCGTAACTTGCCATTTTCATTCACAGAGGCTGTTCAAACCATCATATCGTACAACGCCACGCCCTACCCATTCGTGACCAACGGTACCAATATCACCTTAACGTGCGCTGGGCGTTCCGTCGATTTTGTAACTACTCCAGATGACCAATCATATATGAAAACGTCGAATTCTATAAGAACAATAAACTTCTTCGCAATTGTAAAGAAGACCATACCTTCGTTTTAGAAGTCTCTCCTGCAACGTGACGGTGACAGGAGTGGTCAACAATGATAAATTCATGTGTATTGTCCGAGCATCGTTTGCTCCATGCAACGCTGCTCAGCTTAGTTTTCAAGTTGAAAGTAAGTTTTCCTAATCTTAAAACTCTGTAATGGGAAACGTGAAAAACTAAACTTAGTTTATTCACAACTTACTGTAGTGGGATCTTTAACTGTCGGTATAACCATCACTGTGGGTAATATTGTGCCGAATTCCCCTCGCGTCGGGTCAATAAATGAGAATTACATAACTACTTATTAAACTATGGCCATTTATTTGGTTGATTGTAACCATGTGATCTTGTCTGAATGAAAGTTTCCGATTTACTGAGAGTGCAACGGAGTGCATTCCGTTACACTCTCAGTCACTCAGTTTTGTTCCATTGCACGGTTTGCAATTATCACTAACAAAATTACATCCGCCAAAATCTTAATCCGCCTTAATCGCAGTTGAATTAGCAATAATTTTCACATATTGAGTACCATGGAATTTACACGCGAAGGCGCTTATACAAGAATCGCGAAAACAAACCGTGATTCTGTACGAACAAAACCGCGAGACCATCTGTGTTTCCGAGAATATTAACAAAATAATTTACTTATTTACCTGACGTGGCGCCTGGCTCAAGCCATCTCCCATATTTGTACTTGTTTATAACGCTTTGCACGTCAATTTCTGTTGTCATTAGAAATGCCAATTTTTGACTGAACAAGCAGTTTAAATATGTTTGAAGCGAAACCAGGATTATTCATAATAAGTTTTTAGACGTTCTCTGGTTTTTAAATATTTATTATTACGAGCTTTCGACTTGGCGTCTGCAGTCTTCAACGGGTGGATTACAATAATCCACCCGTTGAAGACTGCAGACTGGCAGCACAGGGGGCAGAAAAGTACGATTGTGTTTTATAAATACCTTGTCATCAACCAATATCCCATATTTATATCACAACAATCCGCAGACATAGTCATAAAAGGATCAAAATTAGCTGATTTTTATTTTTTCGATAATATCATGCCTTCTACTTCAAACATATTGCATTGCAACGATAATTTCCGAACATCTTACGAAAGGATGCCGAGGGTGTAACCCGTACATAAATAAGAAAGGGATGAAACGCCGAAAATCTTTCGTTCAATGTGCACCGCAACAACTGGTGACGGAAGTAAATTTGACATTGTAACCGGAAGTAGAACGGAAGTTGAAGGAAAATTGACCTATCATCTTCCATGACCTTTTAATCGAATTATTTGAATGACAATAACAAATTTTAAAAAATATTGCGAAATTCAAACTCAAATTAGTCAAATATTAATATGGAACGTTTTGTCAACTAAAAGAAATGCGAATCACCCGATTCAAAAGCAACACACGCTCTTGTATCTAGATGGTATAAAGCTTTTCAATAATTTTAAAACAATTATTCTTGAATCGATCAACCGTACGTGAATATATCCACGACTTTGAACTTTGTTTAATATGACTGTATAAATCCAAACGGCAGTCTAGAAAACCGGCCACGATTTAAACTCGTCTTCGCCGTGTGTGCAGACTTAAGATATATCAATAGACTATTTAAATTCATAAATAAACTACATGCACTTATGGGGCGAAAAAAATGGCAGTAAATTTAAATAAACTCTGAAACGGTTTCGTTAATTCGGTTAATATAGACCTTTTTGTAATATAAATACCGGTGCATTTTGGCTTGTATTTTGTAGGCTTTGTATGAATTATCAAATAAGTGACAATTCTTTCAATAAGTGACAATTCAGTTCAAGGAGAATTCAGTGACAATTCAATGAGTGACAATTTATATTATATGAGCATATTGTTATTTAATTTTGAAACTGTATACTAATCATAAAAATACTGTATGAGCTTGTCATATATTTAATATATATGATTAACAATATGATTATATGAATCAGTTGGAAAAATAGTTTTCGTCATGCGCAATATATTTTAAGTGCGTAACTACGTCACTTCCGTCACCACCTGTTGCGGTGCACGTTGAAACAAAATAAGCCAAAATTGTAGTCCCAAAAATTTCGGTTTAATAACCGTTTCTTAAAATTTCCTTGTACAGGTATGCTAAGTGTATCATATCTAAACTTTATCCAAAAAATAAAAGGTTTTGGTTCAGAAACACGCCAGTTATATCCATTCGAAATATTTCACGATCGGGGGTTTCATCCCTTTCTATTATTTGTACGTGTAAGCAAAGTCAATCGTTCTAGTATGAGCCCACGCTACTATGGTCAGTCCTTGTAATACAATGTTTGAATTACATGAAGTAGTAGGCATGATATTATCGAAAATCAACATAATTTTCATCGTGATGAAACCTGGATGAAACTATGCGATATATTGGTTGATGACAAGTATTTTAAATAAACACAATCGTACTTTTCTGCCCCCTGTGCTGGCAGTCGAAAGCTCGTAATAATAAATATTTAAAAACCAGAGAACGTCTAAAAACTTATGTTATGAACAAGCAGTGTTCTTTTACTTGGTATATTACGTGTGAAGCGAAATGGCGGGTGCAAAAGATATTATTACCACTTCGTTTTGGGTGCCAAATCAATTGCGAGTCGATACAGCAATTCTACATATGATACAATGACACGAATATCACTAGACCAAAAGATAGCTATAGTATTGCTCAGAAATAACCTAACACTGCGTTCGCGTTCCGAACGCGTTCCAAACGCGTTCCGAACGCGGGCGGAAGGCGGTTGAAACGCGGTCGGAACGCGGTTGGAACGCGTTCCAGAGGAAACTTGGAAACGCGTTCCCCAATTTGGCTAAAAACCGCGTTCTCGCATCGGAAAATCCCGACACCGAATGAAACATGAGCTACTGTAGGGTTTGACAGTTGACAACTCAGTATGAGCAATTCATATCTTGACAGTTGACAACTCAGTATGAGCAACTCAGTATGAGCAACTCAAATCCCGGGCTGAAATACCAGCCCGGTTTGATCCAGACTGAAACTCGACACAGACCGGGCAGCATGTAATCACAAATAATTTTTAAAAAATCGTCTTAATGGCTTTGTTTAGCGTGTTTGTTTCAACTGTATATGTTACCATAAACACACAAATCAAATGGCCGAAAATGCTTCAAATCGCGATCGTGTCTTTCAACCCGAGCTAGAAAGTTGTGTGTTGTGCACGGGCTACATTTCAGCGATTTAACAACATGGGATGGAAATAATTCCGACTAAAACTCAACCGGCTCAAACTGCTCACGGGCAATCAAATAGATCGCTATCAAACGTGCTGAAGCAAGCGTATCATGTAGCATACTTGCTACAGTTTATTTCAAATTGTCGCCGCTTGTGTAATTTTTTTACGCATAACTAAGTCATAACACACAATTATAAAGTATAAACATTTACAATTAGTCAAAATACTAGTGACTGTGACATTTTTGACTGCTCAACATCTCGGGTCGATTTATAATAAGTGCATGCTTGCAATATACATTTACTAGCAATTGTACCAACTTATGATGATGTTCCCTTACTGTGGCACGCGAATACACGCATATCAGCAATAAACATCGCTTGCGTAAAATGAAGATCATTAATTTTAGCATTCTGTGATGGGGATCGAGATATTAATATTCGTTAATTCAAAATATCAAATTCAAATACAAGTTGTAAAATCAACTTATTGTTTATACATATAAAAAGGGCGCATCCTATATTAAAAGGGCATAATTTAGTATGTGCAATAATCTTTCGTGCTATTTATCAGTACCGCGTCGCGTGTGACCTTTTATAAATATATTGTAGGCCGGCTAGTATGGCATAACATACTATGGGGGGAGAGCCGCCTACTATGAATCTCAGGGCAAGCGAAAACGCGGATAGAGACTAGAGTCGTAGGATATTTACTTGTAAATGTTCCCTAACGTATTAAGTGAGTGTCAATTCAATTTACAGTCGAATAAACATACAGAAATAGACAAATAGACACACGTGCGTTGAAATATTTTTTTAGGAATATAGCTATGACTTACAAGGCCCACATTTGTTTGTATTTTTGTCCGTTTTGATTGACCGAAACGGTGAAAGGTTATTATCACGCTAAAAGTTTCCCTTCAATCGCTGCTTATGTGTTGTGTGAGAAAGATCAAGTTGCTATTACGTATATTAAAGAATTGTAAGTGATGCTAAAGTAAAGGCAAACTTTGAACGAGAGATGAAAATTATCCTTTTCAACTTCATAAGTAAATTTGTAAAAACAAAGAAGCCAATCAACTGTTGTTACAATATTGTCTGTTAATATTGACCGAAAGCCGGCCAAAGGCAATGGTCATGTTTTCAACAACAACTGAAAGATAGCCATTTATTGTTAACAAATAACAATTCTAGGGTTAATTTCTTCTTTTCTGGCAAATATTTATTAATTTGAGACTGATTTCAGTTCGTAATTTATCGACAAGTCAGAATATTATTAAAAAGCATGTTTTACGCAATAATTTTCCCAGCAATAATTCCCCCCCCCCGGTATTTTTTTTCGAATTTTTAACAAATTAAGAATTTTTAGTGTTCTGGTGTTCCGTGTTCCGGAATGATGCTGCTCCGGTGTTCCGTGTTCTGGTGTTCCGTTGTTCCTGGTTTTACTAATAGCCATTGGAACGCGAATGGAACGTAAATGGAACGCAAATGGAACGCATTTAGGAACGCGTTCCGAACCGGAACGCGTTTTCTGTTAGGTCATTTCTGAGCAGTACTGTACGAAACATGCAATGTTTTTTAATTTTTTAAAATATACACTGTCAACTGTAAAACATTTGCAAAATTGTACATAAAAGTTTAATAAACGTTTAAAAAGTTGTTTACGTCTCAAGAAAACGATCACGTTCTTAGTTTTTTTCACATGGACACCTTGGCTGTCCATGGCACTCAAATAAATCGAAAAGTTGACAAAAATAAAAGCGACGCTTTTATATAAGGGTAATTTCTCGAGTTACACAAGTTTTTTTTACAATTTCAGTTGCATTTTACTCACGATTGTTATCGGTTACCGATCCTCAAATTTTGACCACAAATTATAAATTTAGTAAATGTTATATATTTCAAATTTTAAAAAATTCTTTACAGTAGAAATTTTGTTATAAAATTTTCGCTTTTAAAAATATCGCGCTGTAAAGAATTTTATTACATTAGTTCTCGACAGTTGCAGGGATCGTACTCATGAATGTGAATTAAAAAAGATAGGTCACCAGATTTATTTTTCAGATACAAGACAATTTTGTGGCTAAAATAAGCCGGCTTTATAGCTTTGCCAGTTCGCCATGTTGCCATGGCAAGAGTGACATTATCAAAGCCGAGTTGTAAATAATCCACTTATGTTATACATTGTCTCCAAGTAGAAACGAATGTACGATCTGCATTAATAGGCCTGTACTGCAGAGATGTTGGGAAATAGGGTCAACTGTAGGGAGCCTCCTTAAATGAACACCATTACTGCATCACTCTAAAACAACTCTGGTTGAAAGTCGTATTTGACCTATTAAATGAATATTCCTGGTTAATTTTAACCTTTTGCCCAACTAAATTGACCAGAATTAACGTTCTGAGGCCGGCGTTTAACTTAAACGGTGTTTAGCCGCTAACCAGCGTATAAATTTCTTATCCAGCGGATAGTTAAACGGCCGATAAAATTGCGTTGTACGAAGCCCGTTTAGTACCGCGTTTAACTATCCGTAGGATAACTTTTAATTTAACCGGAGAAAACCGGATTTTCTTGAAATTTCTTACCTCTACGTCAGCTGTTGCTAGGCCTTTGTAAACTTTTGAAGCTTTACCTAACTTGTGAATTCCACTAAGCTTTTGTAAAGTTTGTTGTTGTTTATATTTGGAGTTTGCTCGTCCATTCGTTGCAATTCTATATCAAACTTTTCATTTTCATATTGTGCTGAGTTTCTTTAAAGATTTTTGGCTTCTTTATGCGAAGAGTCGAAGGCAATAGCAAAAACTGTGAGTTGTGTTTGGCTTTTGTCAGTTGATTCAGTTTTACACTGTTTGAAATTTGTTATTTTGTTCCTCGAATTTGTACTTTTGTCTAAAAAAATTTTAGGAACGTTCTGTCCCAAGTTTTGATTGGCTGATCAAAGCGATTAACGCAAGCGAACAAAATTTTTCGACTTTCGGCGTCTTGTTGTCTATTTTGTATACTTGTTGACTTTCCAAAGGGCAAAGTCAGTATACTTAACGTCTAAACATTGACACTGGTGTGCGCAGATATAGCAAAGCCACGGAATTTAATACAAGTGAGCAAGTGACCTTGGTGTACCTCAAGACCAAGCCAGTTAAAAGTGAGTTTTTCATGTTTATTGGATTTAAAAAGATAACTTCTCTACATAATTGTGCATTTCAATAACTATCCCATGCTCTTTCAACCGAAATAATCATTGTTTTATCTTCAAACTCCAAGTTTATCCGCCGTATAGCGATTTAAACGGTCTCAAGAGACCGTTTAAATTTACACGTTGGATAGGCGAAATTTAACCGGTGGATAGCGCTAAACGGGCTTCGTACAACGCGATTTCTCGAGCGTTTAAATTTTATCCGGCGGATTGCGAGTTAAACGGTGGATAACGACTTAAACGCCTTTCGTACAACCGGCCCCAGGTTAAATTAACTGCATGCAGACTATGGTGGATAAAAGATAAACGCCATGCATGCACAAGCCGATGCGAAGGTTTTCGTCAACGAATTGGCGATCGGACCAAAACGTTTTCCAAAAAGGGTTGTCTGAGTATCCTTTTTTTGTACGTTCGGCTGCTAAATTTCTCTGGAGTCTCAGTCCGCGCCCGTTTTCCCGAACACTCAGTTCGCGCCCGAACACTGTTGACAAAATGGTTGGAAAACTCTAATTATAGACGGATATAGAATTGTTCATCTAATTTGGGTATAACTAAACTTGTCCCTGACATTTACGCTAATACAATATTTCCAGGTCCTGTTGCTCCACATGTTTCACGTTTGTTTCCTACACTTAAATACGATGACAGGAAACTGGAAATGACCTGCACAGGCACGGGGATTCCTGAGCCTAAAGTGGCGTGGTTGTTAAATGGTTCCATGATCGATTACACAAGTACTGAAAAGGCGGTAAATGTTGTGGTTGATACCAAGCTAGCAGACTTGCAAAACGGGACAAATTCATATCGTGTCAATTCAAAAATCGTTATTACTGGCAGGAAATTTCCGTTACATATTCAGTGCGTTGTCAAGAATGAGATGGATGAAGTGTATTCGGAGAATGTCTACGCATTGTACGTAGCAAGTAAGTATCATAAACTTATCTAAAAAGTAGATTTAAGACTCGTGTTGTAGTTCAAACCATTCTTTCGATCTTTACAGAATCTTTGAAAAATGGTTAACATTCATTACTGTGGAATTGAATGTCCAGACAAAAACAGTTCAATCTTATTATTATACTTTGTAGCCATGCACTAGGTGTGTTCTGATGATTCGATTGACAGC